GTGTGTGTGTGTGTGTGTGTGTGTGTGTGTGTGCGCAAGCGAGTGTGGGGGAAGCGTGCGCGCGCGCCGTGGGGGATCCCTTAGTCGGCTCCGCGGACCCCGCCCGTAGTGCAGCCCAAGTCTATTCCGGGAGCGGATTCCCCTTCTCCGGATGGAGCGGCACTGCGGCTTTCACTGGGGGGAGCGGGAGGTAGAGGTGGGAGAGGGGCGGGGGGAGGGCATTAGAGAAGGGACGGGGACAGGACGGAGAGGGAAGCCCCAGTAAGAAGGGAAGGGGGCGACCGGGGGCGGGGCAAAGGGAAGGGACGCGGGGCTACCGTTATCCCACGCGCGCGTGGTCGCGGCCAGGGGGCGGGGTGCGTAGGGGCAGAGGGGACGTGCGGCCACAGCACGTGGGCAGCCGCCTCCTAGGGCAAGAGGACTTGGGCGCCAGGCAGTGAGAGGGCTGGCAAGGCAGCATCCCGGTCTTGTCTTGGAAAGCTCGAGGAGTGGGGCAGCGTAAAGGCAGGAGGGAGTGGGTGAGGTCACGAGGACTGGTGGAGCCGTTACTGACATTGCCCTGGACTCTGCCTTCAGCCCTCACTTGCCACGGTTATTCCCATTCCACTCACATCTGCTCCCGAGAGAAGGAATCACTCATGCCCGGCCCTCTGGGAGTTTCACATTCCCTGCCGCCCACTCCTCACCCCCTCCCTCTTCTCCTACTGCCACTCCCAGTTCTTCTTCCCCCAAAGGTGGGAACGACCTTGCGGTTGGAGTTTATCTCTGCAAGAAATTCTGCAACCAAATGCGGGTACCTCGTGGTTATCCACGGCTGGTGCTGTACTCGCGCACTCTCTGGTCACTTTAATCTTCTAAGAGCAAAGGACTCAACTGGGTCTGCTGAAAGGAAGCTGCAGTACCAGATGCCCCTTTTTTATCTACATCCATAAACCTAAATAACTTAGTAGTGACCTGGTCCCACAGAAGCCCAAACCAACTAATCTCCAGGGAATAGTCACCACTCGGCTTTTCAGGATTCCTTTTTCCTTTCAGAACTTTCTCAATTAACTCACTAACTCATATCCTGCAGCAATGATCCAGACACTGATATTAGACTAAATTCTGCTCTTACTTACACCAAGAAATCGATATAAAGTAGTTTGCAAATGAATCCAGTGTGCATGCAAAGGCATGGGACTTTTATATTGCAATGATAAGGTTTTCACTCATCTTCTAAGAACCCTGGTAACATTTGATCTATTTCTCTTCTGGCCCTCATTATATTTCCACCTTGTATCATAATTTAGTGATCTTTTTTCACTCACCCAAGAAGACCTTAAAATCATTCAGGTTTCATTCTCACCTTTGTATCCCATGTCAGTCTAGCACTAATACTGTATCTTGCATGTGTGCATATCTATATACATACATACACACATATATACACACACACAAATTGTGTATATGGGGCCTAACCCTCAGGAAGGCCTAAAGGAAGTGCCCTCCCTACTTGGCCGATGCTCTGTGCCCATCTATGTGTACTAGTACTCTGTACATCTTTGGTATGTGACATTCTAAGAGGACTAACTACAGAAAATAACTAAGCTAGGTAGGGATAGTGAAATGCTATTGAGGTAAACTCTCATTTTAATTGTTTATAGGTTATGTGTTTTGTCATCAAGGAACAGATTCGTTGCACAATCAGTCCATCCAGTGTTTTAACGGAGCTCCGGTGAGAGAGAAGGGACAAATCAGGGAAAAGGAGAGGGGAGTGGAAAGGAAAAATTCAAAAATGTTTTATCAAAGATGGTCCAAAGTGAAATTGTTTCCAGGAATGTCCTCTAGTTCTCTCAGTTTATTTTGTATCTTAAAATGGCAATCAGCAATCAAATTTCAAAAACACTATTCCTAATGCCCTAGTAGCTTATTGTTATGGGGAAAATATAGATGTAAATAGTTTTTCATTCTCAGACTTCACCTGTCAAAGTCACATTCCATAAGTCTGTAAATTGCTGCAGTCCTTAAGATAATCATAAGCTGACTCTAGTACTTGGAAGGGAAAGTTTGTGAATTTGTCACAATATTTCCTAAAATATATTTCTTTATGACTTATAAATCTCTATCAGGAATAATATAATATAATTTATTTTTAATAGCAAAGAACAATAGGATTCTGTATAAACAAGGCAGAATGACCGACTCTTTGATAGTGTAGATGAATGATGTTAAGGTGTTACATGTTTCCTCTCCCAGATCATTGTTTCTGAAAAATTAGTAAATAGGACAATAGAAACCTAAATTTCACCAATGGACTGGGTAACAAAAATACAAATTTACACATAAAACTTTTTGATGGCTTTCCAAAGATTAAAAAAAAAAAGCAAATCTTTTTTTTCATTCATTCACTTCAACTAGTGAATCTTCAGTGAGACAAAGAGAATATACTTCTTTGTAACTGATTCCTTAATCACAAAAGTTCAAAGTAGTAGAGCAACAAGAAAGAATTTAATGTTAGGATAGCCAAAGATTTTAGTGCAACAATTGGTAGGAAAATTTGGTTCAAGGAGAACCAAACCATGCCACCTAAGGACTAGTTGAAGGAATTGGAAAGACATAGATGCCTTCAATCTTAGCTCTTCGGCTCACTGCCTAGGTGATTTTTGATAAGTCACTACACCTCGGTTTTCTAATCTCTAAAATGAAGAGTTGGACCAGATGATTTCTAAGGGTCCCTTCTAGCTCGTCATCTATAATCTTAAGATCCTAAGTATTTGAAGGACTGTCATGTAGAAAAGGGATTTAAATTTATTTTGCTTGGCCCCAGAAAGAAGAACTAGGAGGAATGGTGGAAGTTCCCAAAGAGAAAAATTGTTTACTTGATATAAAGAAAAATCTTCCTAACCATCAGAATTGCCCCAAAGTGGAATAGTCTGCTTTGGGACGTAACAAGTCACTGAAGCAAAGCCACAGATTGTCTCCCGCATTAGACTATAAGCTCCTGGAGGGCAGGCTCTGTTTTTCCCTGTCTTTGTATCCTCAGCACTTGGCACAGAACCTGACATGCAGTAAATGCTTTATAAATGTGTGTTGACTTGATTTGATGGTCTCCAAGAATAGGCTGAATGACCACTTTGTAGAAATGAAGGAAGATTCCTGTTCATTTATGGGTTGGGCTAGATTACCTCTGAGATCCCTTCCATCTTGGAGGTTTCAGTGATTCTGTGATCAGATGAAAAATAGCAGGATGTCAGCAGGCTGTTAGTTACAACCAAATAGCTGCTGTGTAAAAGCACCTACCTCAGCCAATTGAAAATAAATGAGAAGAAGAGTGATTCTATCAATCTGAGCAAGGGAAAATGAGCAGGAATCATTTGGTAGGATTATTTTTAAATAAGAAGGAAACCAAAAATAACTGAATGTTTAAAAACTTTCCCTTTCCCCTCAAATAAAACTAAATGCCAAAATTACTTCATTTTTCAAAGGTAGTGTTCAATGCCAGCATGCCCTTCAGTACCTATAAAGGTCCCTTAATTCTCAAGAGTAACAAGGAAACTCTAAAGGATATTGAACTACCATTAGAGGTCATATCAACAAGGATTTGTAAGTGCCTATTTAATAATATTAGGCACTGGAAATATAAAGACAAACATGAAGCAGTCCTTGCTCTCTATCAAATTTACTTCTTTTCTATCAAATTTACTTTTCTATCAAATATACTTCTTAAATATGTCCTAAATGATCCTCTGGAATCAGCTTTGGGGCTGTTTAATTGATGCCCAGAGTTCACAAGGTCAGATATTTCCAGAAAAATAGATAGGGAAGGCTCCTAAGGAGAAAAGCAATGACTTTGTTGTGTGGTCAAACATCTTCAGGATGTGAAGTGCCTTCGGGTTTACCTGAAAGTCGCTCCCAGAGGTGTTCCATAGAGGTGTGTCCGCATTCATTCATCCTAGCCTCCACTAAGTATAAGCCAAAGATCTCTTCATTTTCTTCTAGCGGCTTGGAGTGGAGAAGTTGAGAGTTCAAAGAGGTATTGTGAAGAAAAAGGAAATATGCTTTAAAAACAACTGATTTTATAAAGTGACAAAATGAAGATTCCTGTATTGCACTCTGTGGTTACTCAATATGTCACGTTGACTGAAATTTTCCAGGTTATATGCTAAGACGTTATCCTCCAGAAGTTCAAGGATGTTTCCATTGTCCATCTCTATAAAGGTAAAGGAAATAGATTGTCCTGTGACAATCACAGTGGGGGTCTCTCTGTTAGTCATTGTTGGCAAGATTCTTGCCAGAGTCCTCCTTAATAGGTTGATCCTTCACCTGGAAGATGGTCATCTACCTGATGGCCAGTGTGGTTTCAGAAAGGGCCAAGGAACGTTGATATGGTGTTTGCTGCCCAACAACTCCAGGAGAAATACCAGGAGCAGAACAGAGGTCTGTACACAACTGTTTGTAGCTCTGACCAAGGCCTTTGATATTGTCAGTCATG